ATATATATATATATATATCTCACATCTTTGTTATCCATTCATTTGTCAATGGACATCTGGGCTCTTCCCATATTTTGGCTACTGTGAACACTGCTGTTATAAACACTGGGGTGCATGTGCCCTTTTAAATCACTATGTTTGTATCCTTTGGATAAATACCTACTAGTGCAATTGCTGGATCATAGGGTAGTTCTATTTTTAACTTTTTTGAGGAATCTCTATACTATTTTCCAGAGTGGCTGCACCAGTTTGCATTCCCACCAACAGTGTAAGAGGGTTCCCTTTTCTCAACATTCTCACCAACACATGTTGTTTCCTGAGTTCTTAATTGAGTAGTTTACTGGTGATGAAATAAGTGCTGTGATTGGTGCTAAAGACGAGAAGTTATCGATGAAGCCATTGAAAGTGGCAACTGTGTTCAAGTTTAAAAAAAAAATGACCTTAGAAGGTCATTTCAGTCTCTGATTAAAGAACTTACTTTGCAAAAAGAGCCAGTTTATACTGCATTGGAGTCATGCTGATGTATCTTCTAAGCTGCACTCTCTTATTAGTAAAAAAAAATGACAGACAACAAATGGCCTTCAGGAATTATTTTGAAGAAAGTAAGTTGCATGTATGATTTAACAATGGGTGCAGAGTAAAACTAATGTGCCAACTATCTGATGTGTGGCACTGTAACCAGCATATTGATTCTCTGCCTATTCTGGTTAAGAAAAAATACACAGAATAGTTTTGAAAATATTTCTAACAAAATTGTCAAGTAGAAGATTCTGGTACTTAAGCAGAACACCAGAATGTCCACTGAGACGTCTCTTCTGCTATCCCCCACACCTTTCATGCCACCACCCTCTAAAACTCAGCCTGTATTCTACCTTCTATCTCTATAATTACTCCCTTCTTTCCTTTCACACCAGCTGTACAGTTCCTCCTTTCCTGTGTCTTACAAAAAACCCTGAGTTGTATAATCACCAGAAAATTTCGATCATATACCAAAATATGATAACCCCCCCTCTACCCTTCACCCAGCTTCAAGAATTATCAACAATTACCAATCTTGTTTCATCTGCATCCCCACTCACTTCTAATCCCACCCTAGATTACTTTGAAACATCTCCTATGCATCATATCATTTCATTCTTAAATATATCAGTATGTACCTCTAAAAGATAAAAATTCTTTTATCATAACTATATCACACCTAAAATTAACCATAATAATACCTTAATATAATAAAATATTTAGTCAGTATTCAAATTTCTACAATCATCTCTCTCCCCTTATAATTTGTTTGAAACAGAATCAAAATCAGGTCAATACATTATAATTGGTTTCTATACTTCTTAAATTTATTTTATTAATCTCTATGTTCCTCCTGTATCTCTTTCTCTCTTTTATCGTAATTTATTTGCTCTATATTTATTGTCAGTTAGGATTTTGATGACTACATGGTCTTGTGTCTTTTACCATGTTCCTCTATCTCCTATATTTCCAGTAAATTATTAGTTAGAATGAAAGACTTGATTAAATTCTAGTTACATTTGTGGAGGGAGGTACACTTCATAAGCGGTACTATGTACTTCCATCAAGGGGCATATATTATCTGTTGTGTCTCTGTTTGTAATGCTAGTAGTCACTGATAACCATTGCCTGATCAATTAATTTACCAAAGTTTACTACATAGTGGCATTCCAATTTTTTCATACCTTATTCACTTATTAGCTGGGATATTCCTATGAAGTGAAACTTCTCATCTACTATTTTGTTATCCTAAGGTACAGGTCATAAAAGAAGGAAAAAATAAATGCTTGATTCTTTATTTCCTAGTTGTCAAAGTAACTAACTGGTTCCTTAGCATCATCTAATTGTGATCAATGAATTATTGTTGTTCTTGTTTAATGTCAGTATGAACATATGGATTTAAACATATTTGATGTATGTCCATCCACCACATTCAGTAGTCTTATTGATGCTTAAATTGTTTTGTCTTTGAACTGGGAGCCTTTTCCAGCTGACTTGATTCCTTTTAAGATGACCCTAGTAGTCTTTGACAGCATTTTTGCTAACTGGTATGAATTCACAGACAAAGGCGAAAAGGGCTGGGGGGAGGATAGCATAGTCAAAACCAAAGACATGTAAAATGGTATGGTAAATCTGGACAAACACAAATTATTTAGTAGAGCTAGGGAATTTGGGGTGAAGGAGAAGAGGCAGTTATTTAGAAATGTCTGAGAAGCAAAGAGGATAGAGAATCTTGCAGTGTACATTATGAGATTTCTACAGGCCATTAGTAATCAACAAAAGCAAGGCAGTTTGACATACAGACCCACAAATACCTCAGGTATTTGTAAGGTATGCAGCAATTCCTTACTAATAAAAACTATAGGACCACATTTGAAAAATTATTTCCTCTAAAAATCAGAGATTAGGGATTCAGATTTAGACCTACGCTTGGTATAATGTAATATAGTTAAAGTCACTTATAATCATTTGCATCTTAATATGCTTTCTGGAGTCGAGTGACATCTAGTGTGGCAGGCACACCTGTGGGAGTGTAGTATGTGTGATTATCCTCACTCATGAGTGTTCTGGTGAACTGATGATGGACCACAGGTGGTGCTGGTGATAGGGAGCCATTGAAACAATCTAAGCAGAGGGTAATACCAATATTCCTTCATTGTTTCCTAACCAGAATCACAGAGTCTAAGTGATTTCATTCACAAATCAGTGTTTAATTTGTGTGAATATAAGGTTTTCTAGGGAAAAAAAAAGTTCTAGCTTTATTAAATTACTTCATTTTCCCCTATTTTTCTTTTATCCTTACTAGAAAAGAACCACTTACTGGTTGATCAATGTTCTCCTCTTTAAGCACAGAGGATGTACAAATACCAGCATAATTTGCTGCTGTGATCTCCTTATCCAATGCAGTGCTATGAAAGGCCATAAAAGCTTTGGTATTTTCCACATAATTCCACTTTTGATTGGACGTCCCATTGTTATATGGTTTGTATTTCTGAAAAAAGGATAAAATATGGAGTCAAACAGACAGGAGAGTTTATGATTTGATTATAGCTGTCACAGTTTCATTGCATAAATTCAGAAAGTATAGATAATTACTCATTAATTCTACTATGCAGTGATAACTTATTTATATTTGATGATTATATATGCAACATTTTTTATATTTATAAATATGCATCCTTTGATTTACAAAAATGAAATCACAAAATGCATATAATTTGGTAACTGCATTAGTTTTTTTAACAAGAATATTCCATGTACCTTTTCCTAACATTCTTAATCTTGATCTTAGGGATGTTTTATTTTACCAATCCCCAATACGTAAACATGTAGATTGTTTCTCAAATTTTCCTTATTATAAGCAAAAAAGCAATGAATAATCATATAAATAAATTTTCATATAAATCCATGAAAAATTCTTGAGGAACAAACTCCTCAAGTACAATTGCTGATAAAATAACATGATCATTTTTAAATATTATGAGACATCATATTAAGCTTTATCATATCAAAATGCTTTCTAGAAAGGTTATTCTAGTTTACACTTACACCAGTAGAATATGATATGGCTTGTTTTCCTCACATTCTTGCCCAAATATCAATTTAATAAATGAAAAATAGTGTCTTGTTGCTATTGTAATTTACGTTTCCCTGGTTATCGAGGTGTTTTTTTTTTTTTTTAAATGAGTACAGGCAGTTTTATATGTAACAGAAACAGCACATTTATTCTAATTATAAAACTTGGCTCAAGCATAAGTAAAGAAATGAGTAGTTTCAATTTTAGAGAATTTAAACCAGTAGATTAGTTCCAACTAAACATATCATGACACCTCAAGGAACTTTATAATGAATAGCACTTACTTTACCAGGGAGAGATTGATAGTAAAGAGGAAAATAAATGGGTCTTAAGAATTGATTTAATAGGTCAGACAATAGAGCATCCCTCAGAGGCATGGAAAACAAAGACTATATTTCAAGGAACAGAGAGTGGGGGGTCTAGTAACATTAACCTAACATGCCTCATTTTTATTATTTTACATGAAATTTAATATTTTCTCACAAACTGATTGCTTTAAGAAATAAAAATGAAACATCAGCAAAGAAAAAAATCTTGAAAGCTAATACAAATTACCTTGAGATAAAACTCATTTCTTAAAAATGGGAACCTTAGGGGAAAATGTCAATATCTATAATTTTATGAAACTGATTAAGGTACAAAATTTGCATCTGCATGAGGTTTTAATCTCACTGTGGCCCGTGCAAAAGAGGCACCTGACAGGAAAGAATGTGATGTTATATATATGATGTCTCCTAGAATAAATTTTTAGTCCATAGTTATCAGCAGGATAGAAGACTTAATTAAGCTTTGATATTTGTCCAGATTGCAATACCCCAATTATGGATTCAGGACCTGCAAAACAAGCTGCCTCATTGCTATTAAAAACATGGAATAAAACAAATGTACTTTGGAGATAATATATTCTGTTCAACAAAAAGATGGTAAATACTATGGAGGATATAGAAAATAAATTCAGAGCAGCGGTGCTCCTAAACTTTCTTTCTCCTAGCAAGGAAAAACACATAGCCATTTAGGGGTGCCTTTGGTTACAAGTAAGGATGACAGATAAACATGAAAAAAGAACTCCATAAATCTTTACCCAAAACTCAAATGAACCCAGATTTCTCTGGAGTCTCCAAAAGCTGTTTGGCTGCTACAAGCATTTGCTAAAGTATGTTAAGTGTATTTCAAATGAGTATCTTCGTAGAATTAACACTGATGAGTTCACATCCTTCAGGAAGACCTCTCTGATCATGCTCTTTCCCTCCAGTTGCCAGGTAAGAGGGGACTTGCATACGTCCCAATCACTGAGCTTAAAACACGTGCCTCTAACAGCTATTCACTTGACTGTACCCACCACTGAGACTATATGAATGCTACTGAGATAATTTCTCATGCTTGCCCTTGGATTTGATTTAAGTAACTAGCATAAGTCCTGACATGCAGCAAGCCCACAATCACCATCTGTTGGATTAAACTAAATTAAGAGCTACATGAACATGTTGAATTTGAAATCTAGGCAGACTATTGTAAATATTTTAACAATGGCATTCAAAATAGGTTTCTATGACAGCCATTATCTTTCTACACAACAAGGAAGCGTAGAGCTTTACTTAACTTTAAATAAAGGGCCATGATTACTACTTAGCCTATATATATATATATCTTACCTGAACAATAACTGGATAGCCATAGGCTTCATTTCTTGTGTTGGTCATGGACACTGCCAAAACAAGGTCTGGGTTGCTCACCAGGTGAAAGGTCCTTTGGGAAAACAGGAGTAGGCTTGTTATCAAGTAGCATAACCAGATCAGAGCTCCCTCTGTGCCACTTACCAGAGTGCTGCCTCAGAGCTCCATGCATGCTCTGTGATAATGGATAGGAATCCTTTAAGCATTTCTCCCCCACAGAAGCACAACGTTATGCTTTCTCAGTAGAGAGTCCTGGAGGAACACTGCAGGAGGAAGGGGCTCCCTTGCTCTTCTTGGCTGCTGCCTGGGGTCAGCAGTTGGGAGTGAGGATATCCCGTGATGCTCTGCCCTAACCAGGTGCCCAGAATGTGTGGTCCCTGGGAAACTTCACAGTCCTGGCCTGTAATCATTTGCTCGTGGCCCTCCTGACATGGACATCACATGCTTGAAGCCTTCTGCCTCCCCAGCACGCCCATTCCCTTTTCATGCCCATGTGCCCCCAAACCAGCCGCACTCCCACATATTTCCCAGAGCACTACTTCCTGCTTGCATAGCAGCCACAGACCAGGTCTGGCCAGGCAAACCAACAGATTTTTGCCCCCCAATTAGCTGTATTCATACTTTTGCTAATGAGTTCTGAACTCCGGCCTTGGGAAAGGGCCCAATTTCACATTTGTCCTCAATTCCCTCAGCCCCAGAGACCATACAGAGGATTTTTTAAAAAAAAATATCTGATAGTTACTCTTTTATTATTGTTTAATAATTCTTCATGTTACACATCCCCTTTAAATCACTGTGTGGTTTCTGTCTCCAAACTGAACCCAGACTGATACACCCTCCTCACCTCCCGCTGTTTATTATGAGAGGCACCGTGGCAGAATGATTAAGAACATGGATTCTGGAGCCACAGTGTTCAAGTCTGAATCCTGAATCTACTTCTTAGTAGCTATATGGCTTTGCTTACCAACCCCACACCTCCGTTTCCTCATCTGTAAAATAGGATAATGGTGCATGCTTCAAAGGACTCTTGTGGGAATGAAATGAATTAATGCACAGAAAATGCAGATTATTGCTTGGCACACGTCACTTACAATGAGCTACTATTATTAATGGTTGTGATTTTTTATAGCTTTTCCTCCAATTCTCTTTTTCTAAAGGGGTATTCCCTAAAAGTCCAAGACATATGTTGAATATTGTTAAGTTGTCTTATATAGGAACTCATATAAAGCCTCTTTGACTGAAAGAAGAAAAGAAAATTATTGAGCTAAAACCCTCAAATTCTTTTCCTTGCATCACTTAAAAGCAAAATAAGCCAAACATTCAAGAAACTTGTCTGTATAGAAAAAGCCAATTCTTTATGTCTGTCAACATAGTTACATTACACATCAGCAGTGGCATTCCTGCTGTGGAAAATATAACCGGTTCTATAAAATTTAATGATGTGGGAGTGGAGGGGAGAGGAGAAGGTGAGAAAGGGTCTGTTATAAAAGTAATATATTTCTCTTTTCCAGACTTAAAAAATTCCAGATATCTAATTTAAACTTCTGTGCTATAAATAAATATAAAACAATATAACCTCACTATAAAGAATTTACAAAGAACTGGAAAATAGGGTAAAAATTATAACAGAATTTTAGACATTACTCGTATTACTACAAGATAATCACTATTAATCTTGCAATGTATTTCTCCCTTCTATTGTTAATTAATGATGTATCATTTTAAATTAAAAAACGGGTATTGGATCTGGGCGCCTGGGTGGCTCAGTTGGTTAAGCGACTGCCTTCGGCTCAGGTCATGATCCCGGAGTCCTGGGATCCAGTCCCACATCAGGCTCCTTGCTCAGCGGGGAGCCTGCTTCTCCCTCTGACCCTGTCCCCTCTCATGCTGTTTCTCTCTCTCTCTCTCAAATAAATAAATAAAATATTTTTTAAAAATGGGTATTGGATCTCATCAAATACCTTTTTAGCATTTATCAAAACTGGGCACTGCACAAGAGCTGGTATTCTCTTATTATTCACCTGTGTAACCTTGCCATTTGCATAGTTTGGGTCTTGCATTTTTGTTGACACTCAATATTATTCATATGAATGAATGATCGTACATCTCCTGTGATGACCTACTGAGATGCCAAGATTGGTTACCTAGCTATCTGTTTCTGCTGCTTAGAAGAGCCATAGCAACTTCTCCCATGCCTCAGTGCCCTCCTCAGCCATGACAGTGTTGGTTTTCCTTTTTGTTTTTGAACAGTACAGTGAATTGGCACTTGGCCTTAGCAGGAGTGCTTACATTTTGCAGGAAGCTTGAATTTATGGACCTGTACATAAAACCCACTATGTGCCAAACGGCAGTGTAAGACCTTAATCTGTGTCCCAGGAATATCCAGCACGATACCACAGCCCCTTCCACAAACCCAGGGAATGAGTGCTTGCAAGTCAATCTCCCGTGCCTCAGTGTACCTAGCTTTGAAATCAAGTGATTAAGATGAGAAAATGTAAAGATCCCTTGTAGCTCCAGATTCCATGACACTGTATTTTCCCCTGTATAATTCTGGGTCCCATTGAGGGGATTTTCATCCCCAAGCATTGTTTTCATATTTCCTTTTAGAAGCCAGACAACTAATTCAGATTTTGCCAGAGTTGAAAATGGGAGAAATGTCAGGCTATCTCAAAAGTTGACCTGGACCATTCTTCTGTGTGGCTGGAAACCAAGTGAGTGTATCCCTGGCAATTTCCAACTTGGGTTCGAGGAGGACCTCCACCATAATACAGTAAGCTAAAGCAGTAAGATGTGTTGCTAAATTCCAGAAATGTAGAGCCGGGTAGCATTAGCTCTGCAGGGGCAGGGATTTTCATCTGTTTTATTCTCAGCTAAAGCACCAGCACCTAAAACACCACCCTTAATTACCCTTTGCAGCAGAATGAATGAATTCTGGTCCCATATAGTAAATCATTCACAGGGACAAAAACCTGCTTCTTAGCTCCCTGTCATAAAGTTAGCTTAGCTAGGATGAATGGGGCAAAGGAACACACTCACAGGTCTATCTACAGGTTGCCTTTTCAGCCTTCTCGAAAACAAGCCCAGTAAGTGTTCCTTGCTGGCGCTTGGCTCATCTCAGACAGTGAACAGTACGACTAGCTTCCTTCCTGCCCATGCTGGGCTACTGCTGCCGCCCGCTAAAGCTTACTCAGTCTCTGTCAAAGCAGCAATTCCTAAACCTTTCACAACACACACCTTTTGAAAATCCCAATGAAAACCATAGCTCTTTCCCAGAAAAAAAAAAAAAAATGTATCACACAGATGTCAAGAGATTGAAGAGGCCTCTGGAGCCCCACCATACAAGATTAATGGTAGAATTTGAAGCAAACCAATCTAAAAACCAAGGAGTTGTTTTCTTTCTCGTTAAAGACATGTTCATATATGAACAAAAACAGAAAGAGAAGTCTAAAAAGCCACCACGACTCAACAGCTACCAGCATTCTACCATTCTTGTTTCATCCCCCCCAACTTTTTACATTTTTGCTTTTGCTAGAATATTTTAATGCAAATCTGACCTACCTCTTAATTTTATCTGTATGTACTACAATATATATCTCAGTGATCGGGACTTTTCTTTTTTTTAATATAGCCATTAAACTATTAGGACACAACAAAATTAATAAGACTTCCTTTGCATCATCTGGTACCCAGACTTTTAAATTTCCTCCAGTTGTCTTAGAAATAACCTTAAACAGTAGTTGGCTTGAATCTGGATCCAAACAAGGGCCAGGATTGGATTGATATATTTGTTAAGGTAAGAATTCATTTTCACTGTGTAAGCAGAGCCATATCAGTTGGTTATTTGATGGAAATAGGGGATGGTGGAAAGGCATGAATGTGGGGAGGGGCAGGAGATTGAGTTAATGAAAAGTACTGCAAACTTTTTTAAGTTCTTTCTTGATCCTTTCAAATCATAAAAATTAGAATTAGATGGCAGCCCAGTTTTCTCTTAACTTCCATAGCCAGTTAAAACTATGTACCCGTAGGTCAGATTTCATATTTCCTATCTGAATTGACACTGGATAAGTTGTGTATAGACTACTGAGCATTTACATTTGATTTCACTCTCTTTCTCTTCTTTGAGTAGGATAAAAAATTATTGGCTACCTTAAATAGAAAATCCAAAGTCCTCACGGATACCCTTGCCTGCTCTGTGGGGACCATACCAGATTTCTTAGGCTGTCAATGATATATTTTGATAGATTAACACCTAGTATAATGGGTTTACCTGCTGCCTTCCTTGTGCATCCATCGTTGATGACTACCATCCACTTTCTTCTCCACCAAAACTACCTCCATGCCTGAGCGCAGATCAGGACCTCGAACTCCCAAAACTAGCTGAGGAGCGGCACAGCTTATAATTTGCCCATCTCTGTATTCAAACTGCTGGTGGCAAAGCTTCTGCAATTTACTCTGCTTTGGAGAATGGCTGAGATAAAGAGAATCCTATTAGAGGCCGAAAAGCATCCTGTGCCCTCAATGTGCTGGAGACTGCAAGTTCTGTTGGCGAGAGACCTGCTGTGAACCAAATTCACTGATAATGGGGAGGCATTATCATGGGGACAGCACCGCTGCTATTTGCCTTGCCCTGCCAAGTGGACGTGAAGAGTAGAATTCTGAGTTTGTTCTGTAAAAGGAATACATGCCCATCCAAGAGAATATGAGAAACTCATCAGCATAGCAAAAAGAAATTGAGTTGAAGAGATAATTTAGTTAAAGAGGGAAAGGAATAGGAGAAGGAGAGGGCCCTGTAGAAATGGAAGAGGGAGAAGCAAAGGCGTTCAAATCATGGTTGTTTCTAGCCTCTACCTACAGTCTGCCTGGCAAAGAGAATGCCATTCTCCAGATTTCTCAATCCTCCCTAACAACTCATAGAATATCATAAAAAAGAATGCTATGCTAATAAGTTCATTCAAAGGAATCTCTTGCTTAAGGAGCTTAAGGCAATAAGCAGACTTATGAAATATATGAAACATCACAATGCATTGTCAATTAAGTTATAAACATCTACGAAGCCCCTAGTATGTGCATGGGCAATGTTAACTGTTGAAATGCCAAAGCCATTTGATTTATACAAAATGCTATAATGTTAAGCAAAATGCTATGAAGTTAAGTCTAAAGGTTATGGAATAATACAAAGTACTATAAATTCCTGTTATTTCATTGGACATAGACCAGAAAAAAATAAAATTAAAAAGGAAGAAACTACATTTTACTAATTTCTTAAAGACATCAAGGCATCTTACATGCTTATTCTTAAATTCATTCACACATTCATTCAACAAATACATAGGCTTTACGTTAAGTTATCAGGAGGCAAAGGTGGATGAGCTTACTGCTTAATAGAAAAGACACACCAGTGAACAAGAAATTACATTACATGGCACAAAATAAGCTAAAGGGAGAAGGGCCTTCCCACAAATACTTGTAAATACTTAGTCAAAAACACAAGAAAGACACAAATGTGTATGTTAATGTAAATGGCGGCTAACAGTAATGCAAACCCTCAGGAATCATTTTGCCTTGAAGTGAGCAAATCTAAGGCCATGCAGAAATCTCTAACAAGAATTCCTTGCAACTGGGTGCCTGGATGGCTCAGTTGGTTAAGCGACTGCCTTTAGCTCAGGTCATGATCCCAGAGTCCTGGGATCAAGTCCCACATCAGGCTCCCCCTGCTCTGCAGGGAGCCTGCTTCTCCCTCTGCCTCTGCCTGCCACTCCCCTGCTTGTGCTCTCTCTCTCTTTCTCTCTCTGTCAAATAAATAAATAAAATCTTAAAAAAAAAAAAAAGAATTCCTTGCAACTTTTTACCTGTATTTCTTCTGTGGTTCCACATTTTCAAAGAGTTCTTCTTCCATTTTCTTTGGAAGACTGTCATCCTCATCAAAGTCATGAGGAGTTTCCTGCCAGGCATACCTGAGAAGTGTGTGACAAGCTTTCATTCGGAGATGGGCTCTTGCATGTGAATCTCTATCAAGGTTCAGAAGCAAACACAAGTGTAAGAATTCTGATTTTTACTCACAGAATTTTCTCTGAGATATAGTCTGATCATATCGTGAAGGATATTGATGGATCTGTAAATCACATTTCCATGATGGTGCGTAACATCGCCAATCCACCTCCTACTAATACATAATTTAGATCTTTTAATATAAGCCTACAAATAAAATTCCCCAATTACATAGTAAACAGCATTCATCTTTACTATATTTATTCAGGAAAAAATGGGGCCATGTATTATATCTCAAAAACTGCAAGATTGGGGTACCTGGGTGGCTCAGTCGTTTAAGCATCAGACTTTTGACTTCAGGTCAGGTCATGATCTCAGGGTTGTGAAATCAAGCCCCGCATTGTGCTCTGCCCATGCTCGGCATGGAGCCTGCTTAAGATTCTCTCTCTCCCTCTCCCTCTGCCCTACCCCCCTCTAAAAAAAAAAAAACAAAAACAAAAAACTGCAAGATTAACACTACTCGGTAGTTTAAGAAATTCATAATGAATGTGTAATGAGATTCCTTTTGCCTACTCCGTAAGTGGGTCATAATTCTGTCTGGAACAGGACAGCCTAGATTACTGCATTTCATAAAGTTTACTCATTAGACAATGTTAAGAAATCTTAATTAACTTCACTTTTCCTCTCAAATCTAGAGAGGCTCAAATAGCATTGGCACAGACGTGCCAGATTTTGACAGAGAATAATGTACTAAAACACTTACATAGTCATAGCTTGAATAATTGAGTCAGTCAGCCTTCTGGCTTCTTACTAAGATGAAGATGTGAACAGGAGCATAGCCACCATACAGATCTAGACATGTCACGTTCTGGAGCACTGTTGAGGGTACATTTGCTTCCATGGGATCACAACACAATATGAAGACTGCTCTGCTCAAGGCAGGATAAATATACAGGCAAAGCAGTGAGCCTATTTCAGAACTCTAAATATGCATATGCTTTATTTAAGCTGACGGGGAGTAGGTAGGCTGTGATCGCCAAGGTGCTCGTGGTATTTGATATAACTGGAAGCAACATCAAATTACCAAAATCTTCGGGGTCAATTCCTGTGTTTGCACAGCACACCATACACTTTTCAAATGTGACACAAGTATTATACGTGGATGTGAAATTGGAGGGTAACCGCTGCCTCTTTCAAAATTGCGCACACGCGGCTTCTCAAGTCAAAATTCTTCCCAGCAGTTAAAAAACAATAGTGCCATCTAGTGTTAAAAATAAAAAAACACAGCTTTCCCACCAACTATTTCTTTGAGGAAAACAGAAAACAAGAATGTCTTTCTTAGTTATAACATATTCAGCAAGGTGTAAACAAGATTCTTCCCCCAAGTCCAGATGTTTAATTTTCTAACTTGGAATTTTCTGTATTCTCTTTGGCTTCCAGGCAAATGAAGTACAGACTTTAGAACAGCCTTTTAAAATATACCTTGCTTTATTAAATCATTCATTTGTCCATTCACTCATATAACTAATCATTCCACAGTTAGTCACTCATTCCTTTGACTGATATTTCTTGAATATCTGCTACATGATCGGCACAGAGTTCTAAGCATTGGGGATGCGGTGATGAACAAAACAGGTAAGTTATCAGGGTTCATGGAGCTTTCTAGTGGGCAGAAGAGAGATAACAGACAAGTCAATGAATAAATAATAATACAAGTGCCATAAGTGGAATAAAACAAGATATTGTGATAGAAACTAGCCAGGGTGGGGTGGGATCTGCTTAAGCAATGGAGTCAGAGAAGGCTCCTCTGAAAGGTAATGTTTGAGTTGAGACCTGGAAAATGGGAAGGAGCCAGCCATGTGAGGTTTGAGAGAGAACATTCTAGGCAAAGAGAATAAATGGAAAAGTTCTGAAGCAAGAATATGCTTGGTTCATTTGAGGAACAGAAAGACACTGACGTGACAGGTGTGCAGTGAGTGAAAATGGTAGTACGTGAAGAGGCTTAAGAAGTGGGCAGGGCCTGCCTGTAATTCAGTAAGGAAATGGGAAAGTTCTCCCTGAGCTCCATGCTAAAAAAGCCTTTTCTTTCACAAAGCAGCAAAGCTGAGGTGAGTGCTCCCAGAGTTTCTTTTCCACTTTGCTTATTCTTATTACCAGAAATCTTTGCACAAAACCCAACTATCAAAAGGGTTCCTCCTAGATCTAAGTTTACCCTCCTGCTTTGTGGATATCCCTCCTTAAATCATCCCTCTTTTCAAATATGTAAAATTTCCAAACAAACATATCTGAGAAATTCTGGGGAAATCTTTAAGTGACTCTCTAATATAAGATGATTTAGGATTGAGTCATCAGAAGTGGTTCAGAGAACTAGTGAAAGTTAGCCTGGAAAAGAGATAACCCAGTAGCCTGATGATGATGAACTTTGCATATTTTAAGGACTTTTAAGTAGAAAAGGAATGGATATAAACAGAAACAAATGAAACCATGTTCTAATTGGTTTAGAACCAATGTTCTAAATAATTTCGACATTAGAATGGGCTGCCTTGCGAAATAGTAATCTCCCTGTTACTATGAGTATTCAACAAAAGATGGGATCAAAAGAGCCTGCCCGGAATGTGCAGGAGATTCCTGCCTTGTTTTGAGTGGACTCACAACTCCAACTCAACAACTCAACAACTCCAGGCCTTGATGAAATCTATAAATTAGAACAATGTGGATCTTTGCGCTCTCAAAGATGTTCTTTCTTTTTTTCTCACTTTCTGTTTACTTTTTTCCCATGTTCAGTCTAATAACTCAAGAGGCCAGATGATACATTCTTCAGAAATTCTCTAGCCATTGAGGAATATACCATGTAGGCCAAATCATTTCTCTCTGAAAAAGGCCTTCTGGTGCCTTTGTGAGTGTCAGGACATGAGACCAGATGAATCACTCATCAAAATGAGGGGCTTTGTTTCCTAAAATAAGAGTTGATAGAGGATAGAAGCAGTCTTTTAAAGTGGTTTGTAAAATAGTTTCAAATGACATGTAAATTAATTTTTACTGTTATCACAAGGGTAGTTGACTAGCTATATATGGTTTTAGAATTTGGAAACTCACCCAATCATTCCTTCATTTATTCAGTGTAGGATGATTAAATTCAGCTACCCTGGTCTTCACAGAACATGCACGACGAGGATTTTTGCCTGCAAGGAATTCCCAGGCTGGTGGGGGGAGGGGAGGGGGAGGACTGATAAGCACAGCCCTACGTACAATCATTACCATGACTGATTTCAATGATGAAGAATCATTCCGCATGTGAGTACCAGGCAGGTCAAGGCACTTCAGGCAGAGAGAAAAACGGAAGTGGCTCAGAGGCCTGCGATGGCGCATAAACGGAATATGTCACATTCAGCCGCAGCGTGTTGCCGCGGAGCTGGAGCTTAGTTCGTGTGTCGGGAAGAAAAAGTGTGGAGTGGAGGTGGGCGTGGGGGTGCAAATGAGGGTCAGTGACAGGCCTGGACTCAGGTCAGAAGGGCTTGGGATTACAGACTAAATGTTTTTTCTCTCTGCGGTAGGTAGCCACCGAAGAACTGTATAAAAAGGATTACGTTTGGGCGCCTGGGTGGCTCAGTTGGTTAAGCGACTGCCTTCGGCTCAGGTCATGATCCCAGGGTCCTAAGATCGAGTCCCGCATCGGGCTCCCGGCTCAGCGGGGAGCCTGCTTCTCCCTCTGACCCTATCCCCTCTCATGCTGTTTCTCTCTCTCTCTCAAATAAATAAAAAAAAAAATTAAAAAAAAAGGATTACGTTTTAGAAAGATAATTGTCTGTAGAAGGAACTCCGAAGTGAATTGGAAGGAGGAGAAGATGGAGAGAGACACCAACCCGGAAACTGCTTCAGTGACCCAGGTTGATGGCTGTATGTTAATATGCATCCAGCTTGAACCTATATTAATTTAATTGTTCCTGGAGTCAACATCAATGGAAACGAAACAGGATGGATTCCTCGAATAATTTGCAATTCCAAAATTCTAGTCTTTTAAAAATAGTAGTATAATAATAAAATTACTGAAAGTAGATCATTGTGATGGCTGAACATTGAAGCTCCAGCTTGATCTTTTTGCCAGAAAACTAATTAAATACTAGCTCTTCACCTGACATCCATATCACAAATGTGGTATATGGATTCCCTACATGGGCTCTGTGCTGTTATTGAGCTAATGAGCTGAGTTCAAATAGGAACCAGGTAGTTTTCCTGGCCATGCTGATTACTTACAGAATTTCACTGGAAGCCTTTTCCGTTGTTAAAGCATTTTTTTGCATTTGCTTTTCCTTTGGTCCTATCATTTGCTTCTCTTCTCCAAAAATTGCTACAGGCTTATGCACAGCAAGCTTGGCTCCAGACACGATGTCACTTTGGACTTCTAAAACAAGAGCTGAGCAGAAATGCGCAAATTGCAAGGACGTATTAGTTATGATTGCAGAACACTAGGAATTTGAAAACACATGTTAAAATAAGAATGCAGACAATTTTCAGCTATTTGGTCTAAGAGAACACTTTCTAAGTGTAATTGATAGTTGCTCTTTAATAAACTGGATTTCACTTAATTTTCTGTAGATTCTTTCCCCCCAAGATATTTGCAGTCAAAAGTACTAAAAGTGGGGGTTACATCTAAAATATACAAAGAACTCATAAAGTTCAATATCTAAAAACAATCTGATTAAAAAATGGGCAGAGGACCTGAAAAGACATTCTTCCAGAGACGACATACAGATGGTCAACCTACACATGAAAAGATGCTCAGCATCACTAAGCATCAGGGAAATGCAAATCAAATCAAATCAGAATCATAGTGAGATATCATCTCACACCTGTCAGAATGTCTATTAACGAAAAAAAAAAAAGACGTTGAGAAAAGGGAGCCCTTGTGCACCTAGTTGGTGATGTACAATTGGTGTACCTACTACAGAAAACAGTATGGAGGCTCCTCAAAAAATTAAAAATAGAACTACCATATGATCCAGCAATTCCACTTCTAGGTATTCATCCAAAGAAAATGAAAACACTAATTTGAAAAGATATATGTACCCCTATGTCTGTCACAGCATTATTTACAATAACCAAGATATGGAAACAGTCTTAAGTGTCCATCAACAGATGAATGGATAAAGAAGTGCTATATAGATAATGGAATATTATGTGGTCATAAAAAATGAAATCTTGCTATTTGTGTCAACATGGAGATAACTCGAGGGTATTTTGCAAAGTAAAATAAGTCAGACAGAGAAAGACACATACTGTATTATTTCACGTACATTTCACTTACATCTAAATAACAAAACAAAACAAAACTGAAACAGACTCACAGATACAGAGAACAAACTGATAATTGTCAGAAGGGTAGAAGGATGGATGAGATAGATGAAGGGGATTAAAAGGTATAATCTTCCAGTTATAAAAAAATCAGACATGGGGATGTAATGTATGGCATAGGGAATATAGTCAATAATATTATAACAACTTTGTATGGTGACAAATGGTAACTAGATTTATTACAGTGACCATTTCATAATGTATATAAATATCAAATCACTATGTTATATACCTGAAACAAATATAGCAACATAGTCAATTACCCTTCATTTTTAAAAATGTCTAAGAGGAAAAAAAAGTACTAAAGGATAGGTCTTTCTAAAAAATGTTAATTATTATAAATTCTAACCATTCAAATGGGCATATTATTTAGATATATGTCTCTAGATCATTATCTAGGATCCCAAATTCCTCAGTGGAAGTCCCTAATGCCTTGAAAGATACATACAAAACTTACTGTACAGCATTCAATATATGTAATAGGGAAAAGTTTTAAATTATATTAATGATTTTTCTCTTTTGACTTTCTATGTATAGGACCTTTGTCCTAGCTCCTGGGGCAGCCTTAATGGAAGGAGTAAGACCATGAGTTGATGTGAAATGTTACAAAGGAAAGCAAAAGTACAAAGTTAGTTTTGACACTCAAGCACAACATATTGCCATAAGACAAGGGCCATGTAAATCAGGATTGACGCTCTCATGATTTAGGATTTTTCTAAATGCTGTTAGCTCCCATCTATTATATCAAAGCTTTAACCTCAAGGTTGATTTGGTGAAAACCCACCATTTCTTGGCCTGAGGGCATTTGAGACAGAAGATAGAGGAAGGCAGAAAATCAGCACTGGATGTCATGATTCCCTCTACAGGCTTCACTTCGGGTATCTATCTAAGCTATGCCAAGGAAACATTAAGGACACTGTTCATTATTCAGAACATTGTGACAAGTCACCTCTCAAGTTGCCTCCACCACGCCAATCTGAGGCACAGCCCTGTCAACCTGGATCTGGTTTCTGAGAGGTGCAGCCATGACCCAAGATTTGCTGAAGTCATGCTGGAGAGCTTTCCAGAAGTGGTTGCGAAGGAGGGGTGAAGGGGTTCTATAATAAGGACTTCAGAGATGAGCTCCACCACAGCCAGGCTTCAGGGGGCCAAAGGGAGCAGAAGCAGGAAGCATCACCCACCCAAAGCACCGTCTGGGCCAAAAGAATGGAACACAGTCGCCCAGCCAGGGATGGCGGCCACCAAGCCCCAGAAAGCAAGAGACTCTGTGCCCCAAGTTCTTCCCTACCATCTGAGAGAGGAACGAAAGAGAGACTCTGGGGACTGGGAAATCTGGAATCTGTCCCTAAATATATAATTAATGGATTATAAATAATATAAATTAATGGGTAAGGCAAAATTTAAACCTGACTGGACACTTTATACTTTCCTTAACAGAAAACAAAGAAGACCTGATTTGTTAAAGACAAAATAAATTACGTTTTCTTTACACATCCAAAGTGTAGTGTGAATTAAAATATGCAATCCTGTTAAATATATAATTTTGTCTAAAGAGCTAAACGGCAGGATATAGGAGTGAAATATGACTATTTAAACAAACAATTTAAAAAAAAAAGCAGCATCAAGCATTTAATTTTGGCCATATATATTATGGTAAATAATTCCAGTGCTTACCCTCTATCTTACGTATACTGCAGAAAGTTTGAATTTTAGAAATATCTGATGCTAAGTTTCTCAGGAAGATTTGTTTCTTTTGCTGAGCAATGGACACATCAGGATTGATCCAATGTTCTCCACATGAAACATATACCTAGCAAAGAAGTGAATCTCTGATCCTGTGTGCAACTGTTCACAGCAGCATTATTAGTAATAGCCAAAACCAGCAAAAAGTACAAACAAAATGTCCTATAATAGGCAAATGGTTAAACAAACTGTGACACCATGGATAATACTCAGTGATAAAAAGGCAAAACTGTTGATAAACATAACAACTTTGAAGGATCTCAAGGGTTATACCAAAAAAAAAAAAAAGTACTTCTCCATACTATCTTTGCAACCTCCTGTGAATCTATAAATTTTTTCAAAATAAAATTTTATAAAATAATTTTTTAAAGGAAGGAAAAAAAGAAAGGGAAGGAGGGAGGGAGGGAGGGAGGAAGGAAGGAAGGGGAGGTAGGTGTAAATTAGGGCTTTGTAAACTATGGCTGAGGCCCAAATCTGGCCTGCTGCCTGTTTGTGTAAATAGAGTTTTATTAGAACACAGTTATGCCCATGCATTTACATGCTTCCTGTGACTGCTTTTGTGCTTACAATGGCAAGAGCTGATGTTTCATTAGAGATCATATGGTCTGTAAATATTTATTAACTGACCTTTTACAGAAGAAGCTGAACAAAGCCACTGGTATAAATGAACTTGTAATATGTTAATGTGGCTATTTCTAGATGCTGAGATAATGAATGATACCTGTTCTTCATGCTGCTTATATTTATTTCTTAAACGAATTGGTATTTCTTTGAAGTAAGAAAAAATAGAGTGATATATTGAGAATACTCAGTAGGAAGAAAAATTCTACTCGGTGCTCTTCCGTGGCCCCACGTTGGTGATTATACACAGCCCCCTGTATGACAACTCAGGGAAAACTTTCTCAAAATTTTTTTCTGTTTGAACAATAGGCTTCCCTTTTTTCTCTGGACATACTTGATCATGTAACTGTTGATGTTTCTGTCTCTGTTGGCTGCTCAGAACAGCGATAGGTTTGTTTCTAGCAAATATACAGAATCTTGTAACACTCACTCCTGGCTCCATCTTATCTTCCTTTCACTCATACTCCCTTCGCCTTGGTGGCCTCATCTACTTATCCTTACATTAAATTTATCCTTTTATATCCTATGTTTTAATGTAATCTACCTTGAATTCTTTCTGAAATAACCCAGTGAATTAATGCAGCAGCAAAAGCGAAGAAAAAAAATTAAAAACCAATGAACTAAAACCTTGGAAGTGATAGTGTTAGAATTCAAAAGAGATCTCCCCAATTCCAACAACACAGACTTTCCCCTCTGCCATGCTGCTGCTGCTATTAGTCATCAGTACTATGGTTTAAGACTCGCTCAAGGGGTCTTTACATTCAGAGCCTGAGTTGAGTTCTGATATGATGAGAGCTCAGCTCTCTGTTCAAAGAATTTCAGGCATTGGTCAAGCAGGTTTTCTTTTCGAGCTGATGCCTCAAATTCCATAAATGGGAGAAAGGGCTGGCTGCTAAAGTCCTTCTTCTCAATCATCTCTAGCCACCCAGTCTGTGTGAAACACTAGATTTAATTTTTTTTCTGAAAGAGTGAAATTTTCATTTAGTAAGAAATCACTAAACAACTACTTTTTGAAAGCCTCAAAAAGAGGAGGTATCTACCTCCTTCAGAGTAGGAGACAGAAATCACAAGTGGTTAATAATCTGGTCTTGTCTAGTTTCCACCCTCCCTTCTAAAGTGGGGACATTGACAGCATCCATCTCATAGGGTCATGCTGATCCTTAAATGAGTTCATTCTTAGAAAGCCCTGGAAATCATGCCTGACAGTAGCTCTCAACAGCTAGCTATTAGTATGATTTTCTGAGGATTGCTGAGTAAGGCTGAGAGAAAGTAAGGGGGGAAGCAGTTACTGTTTGAAGTCTTGTATTTTAAAACATTTATCTTTTAGTTGTATGCATATACTATTTCCAGTTTCACATTCATGTCTTTACCAGTTCATCTCTTTGAAGGTCTTTTAGGGCAAAGATTTCCTTTCCCTTTTCATTGAACAATCTCCGAGCTGCAGAAGGTAAATTTAAAATTTCAGTGCACCTGTAATAAGAGACACAAAAACTGAGCTTGTAGATAGAAGCCTTCCAGCAGAGTAGAGAGAAAATATGAGAAATCAAGGATCTGGACCATCAACACCCACTCCTGCTGCAGACCTGTGAGACCACCCAGAGGCAGACCCTGGAGCCCATCAGACCGCTTTGGAGTCTCATTCCTCCATCCAAGCTGTGGGACTTGGGCAAATGAACTTCTCTAAGCCTCAATTTCTTATCTTCCAGGGTTTTAGTGAGGATTAAAGGCTGATTTTGAAAAGTACTTACCACAGTGCCAGGCCTGATCAACAAATAAGTAGGCATATCATTATTGATTTTTCATTCTTCAATATGCCGCACACTTTCTAATTGTGTGCCTTTGCTCATGCTCTTCCTTCTACCTAAAATACTTTCCTTGGCTTTTTCTGTTAACGTTCTATTCTCTCCCCAGAGTCGTATCCATCACCGAGCAGTTTCTCATCTCCCTCCACTAGTAGTGATCTCTATGGCCCTTTAACTCCCTTTCAAACAGGAATCTTTAGCCTGGTTAACCACTCAACAGTGATTTCCAGCCCCAGGCCCCAAACAAGCATTTGGCCTTGCCCTGTGGATATCAAAATGAATGATACTGTTTTCTTGTTCCCTGAAGAGCTCCCTCTCTTGTCAGGAGAGAGACAGGTCAGCAACTGAAGTATAATATGCAGGAGTGATACACAAACAATGAATCATGGAACACCACATCAAAAACTAATGATGTAAAAGAAGAAGATAGCAGGAAGGGAAAAATGAAGGGGGGATAATCGGAGAGGGAGACAAACCATGAGAGACTATGGACTCTGAGAAACAAACTGAGGGTTCTAGAGGGGAGGAGCGTGGGGGGATGGGTTAGCCTGGTGATGGGTATTAAAGAGGGCATGTACTGAATGGAACACTGGGTGTTATACACAAACAATGACTCATGGAACACTACATCAAAAACTAATGATGCAATGTATGGTGATTAACATAATGTAATTAAAAAATTTAAAAAAATATGCAGGAGTGGGTGCTGTCATAGGCACATGGCCAGGGTGCTGTGAGAACACTGGAAAAACAAAACAATGAATTCCTCCAGGGAACCCCGATTGAAGGAAGTGACATTTGGGTTGGGCCTTTGCAGATGAATAGGAGTTGGTCGAGAAGGATTAGGACCTAGAGAAGTCTTGCGTGGCTGGACCCGAGTGTATGGATGGGAGCAGGAGCCAGATGAAGCTGGAAAAGAAGACAGGAACCCATGGAAAGCACTTAAGATACCAGGCTAAGAAACTTAGCCACTACCCCATAAACCGCAGGAAGTCACTGAAGGTAGGAGAGTAGAGGTGTGGTGTTCTCAGCTCCGCTCTTTAGAGAGTTAGCTGTCCGACAGGTGGAAGATGCACTAAAGCAGGAGAGGCTGGAGTTACACAGCCCGTTCAGGAGAGTGGCAAGGAGGCTGAGTGGTGGGAGAAGAGGAGGGAGGGGTAACGGAACGTGATGGGGCTGTTGAGAAGACTGTTGAGATGATCCCGCCTTTGGAACAAGAAAAGTAAAGGATTCTTGCTAAATATATTTTACATTAGAATGTACTGTCTATCCTAAGTGAATTAGAAGTGACTTTATGCTGATCAGGAAGGCTAAACTGTATGAAGAATATTTCTCACTTTTGTTTCCTTAGATGGGATAAAGCAATTGAGCAGATAATTAGGCCCTCCATTTCTCTGAGAGGCCTTAGAAGGAACTAAGGCAATGGGAACTAAGTCTCTGCCTCCTGTGTCATAGCTCTAGCAGCTGGTGGACCAAAGGAGTTGGTGAGGAGGGAGTGGGAAGGAACTATAAGAAAATTGAGCCCCCAGCCACAAGATGTGCCTGATTCTCTTTCTTTGCTGCCCAGAGACCCAACCTGATTCCTTCTACTTTCCCTAAATGGATATCTTTGTGGGTCCAGGCAGTTATAGCATGACCTAAGAAGAATTACCATTATCATATCTGCTCCTACTCACATTTTCCTGGAGAACATTTGGACTATGGGAATATCCTGTTTTAGGACAACGAGTGGGAGAATAGAAGGAATGGGTGGTTGGTAAATCTCCTTTCTTTTTTTGAAACCCTGGTTTTAATAGTACTGAATTTAATTGGCCCATGTAGGTGGGCTAGAGAGGATTGGGGTAAGCTTTTTCCTCTCTATTTAATTCCTCCAACTTGTTCACATGCCAGTTAACATAAATGGAGACAGAATTAGCTGTTAAGTGCCTAAGGAGGAATGTGGACTCTGGAGTCAAATTGCCTGGGTTCAAATTCTAGCCCTCCTGTTCTGGTTGTGTAACCTTGAAAAAGTCCCTTAATTTCTCCGAGCCTCATTTGCCCTATCAGTAAAAGACAGCTATAGTAGTATTTATCTCACAGTGATATTTTACAGGTTAAATGTGTGGATATCTGTACAGCGCCTGGCACATAAACAGTCAGCAACACATTATCAAAATGGATCAAGCACTGCAAGCATTTCATGGCTACTCTCACTTAATTCTCACATCATTTCTGAGAGGCCAATTTTACTGATGAGGAAAGTGAGCCTGAAGGTTAATTTCCTTGCCCAAGATTGCATAGCTAGCAAGTAGGAGAGCTGAAATTCAAACCTAAATCTGAGTCCTTTACAACATTGTATGGCCCCCCGTCATAGAATAATGAGATAGTTGATCTACAGAGTGAGGGGACTGAGTGAGGTGCTGAGCAAGTGGTCCAAGATTTCTCCATTACGTGGAGGCAAATGTCCTAGAAATAAGGTCTTCTGACTTGCACACTAGGAATTAGGACTGGCAACCACATGGCCTACTCAGATTTACAGGGAGTCCAGAAAAGTAGAGTCTGATCTCTGTGCTCTGTGAGCACTAGAGTGGAAGAGGAGTGGCAGGTGGAGCTGGTACCTTGAGAGCTGTATTTCAATATAACCTAGGATGCCCTGGGAGAAAGGAAGCAAGTGTGTCTCCCAGGTCTGCAGATCGCTACAGGTCTGTAGGAGCGGGGACTTCCTTTCTCCAATCACTCACCAGGACACCTATTCCAGGAGCCCCACCACATCCTTCCAGTTATTTCAGAACAGTGGGAAACTGCGCAGAAGCTATGGATACATGCTTTCTTCTTTTCTTTATCTTCTTGCTTTGTATCTCTGTCTTTTTAGATCTCTCTCATTTTCTCTCTTCTCCATGAGGCCTTCCCTAATAGCTGTCCCTCACCAGGTTCTTCCTCCTTTCTGGTCATCTATAAAATGACCCCTTGATTATTTTTACTTCTGCACAATTAAATACTGCCCTCTGTGGCTTTCTGACTGTTTCACTGAGCAAACTGTCTTCCCAACAAGTTAGGAGTTTCCTGAGAGCACGGAATGTCTTGCCCCCCCCCTTTTTTAATCTCCAGCAGAATATCTAACACCAGTTGATGCACATGACATGAATACAACAGATATTGAAAAAAATCAAATTCTTTCATGCTTTCCTCTTAGCTTTTCATCCAAATCTGTTTAGCAAAGAGGAACTGGGACTCAGAGAAGGGGAGTGCTTTGCTGAAGTTTTTGTTAGTTAATGGCAAACCTGGGGTTAAAATCAATCCCCTTGACTCTTAATTCAATGGTATTTCCAATACTCCATGTTGCCTGCAACTTTAAGTATCAACAAAAAAAATTCCCTATTTACTGTTTAAAAATAATGCTTGTTATACCACTAGATCTTCCTTTATCTTTGGAGGTGGAAGAACCACCACCACCAAGAAAAGACCATCAAAGCCATCTGGAGTGACTTACTAAATAAAAATTAGCATAATTTTCCTTACATTTTATAAGATTGCCCCCTCATATTCAACAAGACATATTTTGTAAAAATGTTGATACCTGGTGCTCTACCTTTAAGCAGTTATCAAATTCTATGGGAATAATTCTTGTTTTGGTAGGAAAATATTAATCAAAAGAAAATTACAACATATTTTACAAATATGATATGGGCTGATGACATTTAAAATGTGGTTTACAGTAGATAACTACTGATTCCAATTCAAACAAATGTAAACCAAAGAAAAGTGCTGTACATTTGTGACATATATTTTTTAAATGGGAATAATTTATATTTACAGAGTTGGTAGTTCAGAAGCTAGGGGAAATTGCCAGCCCTTGACATTTGGGGCAAAAATTTATTAATTAGCACTGGTATCATAAACTCACATAGTTTATATATTTCACAGATTAAAAACTCCAGAATCATTGTATTAACAACAGCCTTCTTATGCAGATACATATGTATTTTGTATTATGTGTTAGACATAATTATTTAGGCACTAGAATGGAAAATGCCTTTGCATTTAGGATAGTAAGTATTTACCTCTCCAAAAGTTGGTGAAATTCGGTCTGGATTGTTTCTGTTTCAAAATATTTAGTAATGTGGTTTTTCACATTCTTTTTCCTTTCGATGTCAACATTTCTGAAACAAATGATCCAAGATTTGACTGATATGTCAGTATATGTTATCAATTACCTTTCATCTTTAAATATGTGAAAAAATCATGAGGTTTTAATTTATCATAATTTGTCCTAAAATAATATGCTTTCTTTAAAAAAAAAAAAAAGAAGAAGAAGAAGAAGATTTCAGGGGCACCTGGGTGGCTCAGTCAGTTAAGCGTCCAGCTCTTGATTTTGGCTGAGGTGGTGATCTCAGTGTCCTGAGATCAAGCCCCGAGTAGGTCTCCACGCTTAGCCCAGAGTCTGCTTGAGATTCTCTCATTCCCTTCCCCTCTGCCCCTCTCCCCACTCTCCTCCCTCTCTCTTAAATAAATGAATAAATAAATCTTTTTAAAAAAATTTTTTTTAAAGTTTAAAAAAAGGATTTAAAAAACTATCACAATTAAATTAAGTTTATAAACATTTATACTATGAACAATTTATATAAGAAAATGAATTTTCAGTATTTTAATCCTCTTCTAATAATGCTGGACACTCTGAGCTGTGAATTTATCAGTTTTAAAGAAAATACAGAGACTACATTCATTTTGCCTGTGATGTTCATATATAGTTGATATTCATATGTTTATTCATATATTATTAAGTTATCAATCCAAACCTAAATATTTTTAAACTGGAAAGTGATTAATGATAGACATAGAAAAAAATGTTTAATTGGAATATGTATCGGCTCAAATTTTCAAGTTAGAAAACTATCTGGTATAGTTTTAGAATCTCTATATTTTATTGAATGAAAGAAATAGTGGTCAAATATAGTTGTTCATTCACAAAATATGGTAATCAAGTATAGTTAATCATAAATAAATTAATAGATACATGAATGAATGAATAAATTCAATAAGCACTAATTTATGGCCCATTTTGGCCCTATATCCTGTGGTAAATAAAATGGCTTAGTACTTGATTAACGAGGACACACTGTCCCATGACCAGACCATAGCAGAAAGCACATATATGGATGAATAACACATCATCCCTGTTCTCTGTCTCATGGATGGAAGCATAAGCAGATAATCACAACACAGAGCGGTAGGAGTTATGCTGGGGAAAAGTCCACAGCAATCAGAGCATTGGAGAACATAGAAGCTACAGCTAATTCAGGGGTGGGTAGGGAAGTGTCAAGTTCAGGGTCAGCATCTAGAAATGAAGGCCAAACTCATTCTCAGAACACCTTTATTATTTTAAGGCAGATGGAAGGTGTTGGGGAGTGGCAGGGGTTTAAGAGTAAGAACTGGAGAGAGTGTTGATAAGAGATAGAGCTAGATAAATATGCAGGAACAATTCACAAAGGGCCTTAAAAGCTATATTAAGGTGCTTGAGTGAGTCCAGAGATCATAACTTACTAATAACTTACTCATTAAAATTATCTAAAAATATAAAGTTTATCACACAGCTTCAAACTGAGCCTTTCCTCTTAGAATTCCTTAAACTAACACTTATAAAATTCTCCTTGTTTAACTTGCTATTCTGAGAGAAGAAATTCACCTGGAAATCACAACGGTTTTAATTTATTTGAATTTTGACAGCCACTACCCAAGACTGACAAGATCTTATTACTCACCAAGAGTAAAGATCGACTAAATCACAAACAAATGATATTTGATCTTCTGTTGGCTTTGTAGATAGAGGAACCAGCAACAACAAATTTCCCTCAAAACTGTCTAGAATGAATTATTAAGTAACTAAAGGACAGCATGTTGCCAGGATAGGATTTGGTTAAAATGGGTCTATACTTCATCATTCTAGCTTGATTTCACTTGTAAAGACACAAAATAGCCCAACTATCTTCATTCTTACAAATAAGTTTCAAGATAATACATGTAATGTACGCCTACATGTCCTTAGCATTTATTTCTTCTGACAGAAAATATTTAGCTTGGATATATGAAAAGTAGCATAGCAGGACTCCTACTTTGCACAACTCTGGGATGCGTTTGTATAGAATACAATGTGAAAAGTGTCCTCTGGAACTGGGCAACGCAGCTGCTCAGTAATATTAGCCAAAATTCTTTCCATTTGAACCTTCTATTAACCAGTATTTACATACAGCTCTGGGCAAACAATGCTATTGAAGATCCTGTAGAAAATTTTCTGAAATGACCAAGAAAAATTAATGTATATTTAGAAGAGTTTAATGTCAAGTGTATGCCAGTGTACTTTAATTTTGGGGGAATAATTAATTTATGTAGTGAACAAAGTGAATACTTGATTAATTAGGACACACCATTCCATGAACATAACAGGGTTTCACATACTTTCTGCTGGAATAGTTGTCCAAATGAACAAATCTCTCAATTATGTTTGGATTACCTGACTGAACTATGCATTTTAAAACATTAATGTGGAAAGATAAAATCTGTATATAATTTTGAGCCCCAGGGAAAGACATAGTGCAAAAAAATAAATGTAGGAAGGGACAAAAATTGTTAACTTTGGATGTCAAAAAAAGTCATATGTAATTTAAGGGCATTACCCTCACATTTTACATCTAGCAGAATGAGCTAATTATGAAATGTATGCGTCAAAGATTTCAATTTCAGGCTTGACTTTACTTTGAAGATTAATTTTTTACTTTATCATCTTTACAGGCAGTTCAGTGGACAGCCGATCTGAATGTTACTCATTGTTCAGCGATGTATGAAGTATATTTAATCAATGTGAAGAAAGTAATATTCAACGATTATCAGCAGCCTCAAATATTCTAAACATCTCAAAAGAAAGGTCAGAAGATAACAGCACTGCTAATAATATGAGAAACAATATATTTAACTCATTCTTTACATCACAGCCTTGCACTGGTCTATGATTTCTTTTGTCATAAAACGTAATGAAAATACAGCAAGTGATTTTTCTCTAATGTTGGAGAAATATTGGTTGTATGGGAAGATTTTATTCCAATCTTATAACACAAGCTAAAGTGCAGATCGATGTTTTTCTAGAATGATAAGCTTTTAAAATGTTATTCCAAAGGCAGAGATATAAATTATATGAAGTTATATTTTGAGAACTGTATTTGCTTGGTAAATATGCCAAAGATCTTCATGTAAATAATAATGTACAATAATAATTTAAATAAGGACTTATACAATTATATGTAAGAAGAAATTTATGAACTCAGTTACTTTGAAACACATTAATAAAACTTAAACAAAAATGCTAATTCAAAATAGACATTAATCTCAGAACTTTTTTTGATCAGAAGTACCCATTTCTAACTCATTATTTTCTCCCGTGCTTAGCCTCAATCAGAAGAGTTAAAAGTTCCTGACAAGTTTTTTTTTTTTTTCCTGACAAGTTTTAATTAAATCTCAGTCTCTATTTTTATCTCCAAATATCAACATGGGAGCCCTTTTTATTTATTAATTAATTTGTTTCTTTATTTTAAAGATTATTTATTTGAGAGAGAGAGAGAGAAGAGGGAGGGGCAAAGGGAGAGGGAGAGAGAGAGAGAATCTCAAGCAGACTCCCCCCTGAGCACAGAGCTTGAGGCGGGGCTCATCCCATGACCTTACAACCCTGATGTCATGACCTGAGCCAAAATTGAGAGTCACTCAACCAATGGAGCCACCCAGGCATCTTGAGAACCCTTTTTAAAAATAAACACAGAATTCTCCCAGAAATGCATCCTTAACGAAGACAAAAATTTGTGGAAATGAGAAACGAGAAGTATGAGCAAACTGTTCTTACTGCATTTTCCGTCCAGGTGAGCTGTCTGGACCAATTATAATAAAGGCTCTATTTTTATTCTTGTCTCCATTCCGCAGAACTCTGAGCCTCATAGGGACACACAGCTCCGGGGTCTTACAGATGGATTTCTTCATGGGAGGACTGTTTGGAATAAGCAGTCCTTCTATTGGCCAATCAAACTCCTTCAGAAAGAAATGACAAAGAATGTGATGATAAGTAAGAAGAGTCATTTCTAGATATAAAAAAATACTAAACACACAACTTATACCTTTAATTTTTCATTCATACATCAAAAAATGTATTGGGCATCTAAGATGTTCCAGACAATTCTAATTGATGTTTCATTTAATTAAAAAGGAACAATTTTAAGACACACTGTGTTGTGTTACAACATAGAAGACTTAGTCCCTCTCAGAGAATCATCATTCTTAAAAGATAAAACTGAATTAGCTTGGGATGTTTTTTGCTTGTGTGTGAAGTATCTTTAATCAATGTGAAGAATGTATGAAAAGTGGTTTTATCATAGCCTGAAATAGTATTATCTTAAACTAGATCTATTTGACAAAGAAGAATACATTTGAGGAACTCTCCAAAAACCAGAATGAGATGACAAAAGAACTTAGACCAATTTCTATGTTTCAGTTGCAGAACTCACTTACTGTGTATCTTTCATTCATTTATTTATTAATTCATGCATTTTCTAAATACTGATTGATGGTTTACTATATTCCAGGCACAGGGGTAGGCACTGGAAATAAAACTGAACAAGACAGAATACTCTTCCACAAGGAATTTCTAGCAGATCTTCAGAAACTTACCTAGAAATAAACTGACAATTACAATAGTATAAGCATAATAGCAACAGGCGAGTACTGGGTGTGATGGGACGACACAGGAGGGGAACTTAACTTAGAAATGCCGTGTAGCAAGGCTGAAGCCTCAGTCAGTAAAGGAAGGGTAAAAGGACAGGGCAGAGTGTATGTAGGGGACTTAAGGATTAGCAGAACATGATATCTGGGAGATAAAGAGAAGAAAGGATTGATTGCCTCTAGGTTTGTAGTTTGAGCAACTGGGTGGATGGTACGGCCAGTCACAAAAATAAAACATTTGTGGAAGAAGCGTAAATGGGGGAACAGATGATCAGAGACGATGTTGTTAGGCAAGGTCTCAATTGTTTCATTTTTTTCTATCTGCAAAAACAATTGTCCTGGCAGCAGTTAATCCCTCACTAATCTGCAATGACCATCCTGTAAAATATCACAATTCTGTATAAGTGTGCATCTGTTTCTGTGTGTTCTATTCTCTTCAATTGTTGATTTTCCTACCCTGTACAGTACCATACTGCCTTGATTACATACAATACCTTTATATCTAACAGGTTTTGATATTTGATAGGGCAACTCTCCCCACCTTGTCATTCTTCTTTGGAGATTGGCTCTTGTTAGCCCTTTGATAGTTCATATACAATTAATGAATCAGCTTGCTTATTTTTCTAACAGTCTGTGTGGGATATAAATGCTCTGCAGAGCTTCCTATCAATCCTATTTTTTAAAGATTTTTTTTCTTGAATGTCCATTGAATCACATAAGGCTCTATTTTCTGCAATTATATGTGCTCATATAATTATTTATCCTTTCACTGGCTATGTGTTAATTACATTGTTTTTTTTAAGATGTTAAATTAATATTGCATTCTTGGACCAATCCAAATTGGTCACACTGCATTATCTTTTTTTATAGATTGCTGAACTCAATTTGCTAATACTTTCTTTAGGATTTTTGCATGTATGTTCGTAAATGAAATTAACATGCAATTTTCTTGTATGAACCTTGTCAGGGTTTGGTATTAAGTTTATCCCAGCCTCATGAAATGAGTTAGAAACTGTTGCTTCTTTTTTGTATTATGAAATACTTGCTTCTTATATGTTTGGTAGAATTTGCCAATAAAACTATTTGGTATTGGTGTTCTCTTTGTGGGGAGATTTTAACTATTGATTCTATTTCTTCTATGATTATTGGATTCATTATGGAAGATTCATTATGATTCCATTCTAAGTTACTTAAGTGTGCAAACTTGACCATTCTATTTATCTAAGTTATAATATTTATTAGCATAAAGTTACTTATCCTTATTGTCTTCTTAATCTCTCAGTATCTTTATTTGTATCTTTCCTTTATTTTTAATATTATTTACCTTTACTATTTCTTTCTTAATCAGGGTAACCAGGTATATCCATTTTATTAATGTTTTCAAAACAATCAATTTTTGACTTTGTTGATTCTGTTTTGTATGTATCACATATTGTATCAATTTCTGTTCTTGTAATTCCTATTTCCTTCATTTAACTCTTTGAGTTCATTTTGCTATTATTTTCCTAACCTTTCAAATTGGAAGCTTATCACATTAATTTTTAGCCTCTCCTCTTTTGCAATTTAAGTATTGAAGGTTATACATTTTCTTCAAGTACACTTTAACTGCATCTCACACATTTTGCTTTGATTCTAAATACAGTATTTCCTTTTTAAATGTTCATCATAATTTCTTCTTTGTCCCATGAGTTAAAATGTCTATTTAAATTTCCCAATATAGGGCCTTTTCTATCTATCTATCTATCTATCTATCTATCTATCTATCTATCTATCTATCTATCATCTATTTATTTATTATTTATTATTTTTAACTTAATCCATCAGCAAAACCTGCTTCTACTTTCAAAACCCATCTACTCTTCATCACCTCCACCACCCTGGACCACTACTTTCTCTCACCTACAAATTGCAAAAGCCTTCTGACTACTTATTCCTACTTCCACCTTAGCCCCTTTCTTTTTTTTTTAATTTTATTTTATTATGTTATGTTAGTCACTATACAATACATCATTAGTTTTTTTTTTGACATTAAGAACCTTTTATTGAGGCAAAGCAAGCAGTGGCCTGAAAATACCACAGCATGAAGGCAGGCTGAGGAAACCAATCTGATTTCTTTTTCCTCTATGGCAGCCCAAATGACGAACTAAAGACACTCCAAGATCACTATTTATACTTAAGGCAATTTATAGAGAGAGGTCTTAACCAAAAAGCCTGTACCTGGCATTCAAAAAAATACTTACATTTTTTGGATGGACTAAAAGACCTAATTGGCTATGAAAAATCTGTGCAGCAGGGACCTGTTTTCAGCAGGTAAGCCTATATACAAGTAAGAATCTCTTACTCTTGTAACATTGTCCTGTTTTAAGAGAAAATGTTTAACTCCCATGCCCTGCAGAGGTCTCTATGACCCCAGAGAAGCACAGACCTATCTCTATTAGAGAACTATTTAAACTGCACTATAAATACACATACAACACACATCTGCCCCCTTCTCTTTCCCAAATAGGCTGTGAATGCCTTCTGTGAGGGGTTATGGCTCATTCATTTTTATATCTACGGTGACAATTAGTAGGCACTCAACAATTTTTTTTTTTTGCATGAATGCTAAATGAAAATGATTTTACAACACCACTACTGATTACATTTCAAACATTCCCACCATTACCCATCTCCAAAACAAAAACACTAAATTGCTACCAAGTTTACTATGTTTTTCACAATATAGTGCTTCAGGACTTTTTAATGTAAATAAACATTTTTGATTAACTAATTTTCAAAATAATGATACAAATTTAGCACTCTTCTTGGAATGGAAAATTTGCTTGGAGATTACTTCATTCTTTTTCTCTTTTTCAAAAGTGCATCTCGTAGTGCCAGCTGCTTTTCTCGGAAGGAATGTTTTGTTTCTTGACCGGACATGATGGCTATATCGCGTCATCATAAAGTTCTTCTGTTTTTTCTTCTCTTTATTTGTGGAACTGGAAAATGGGTTCATTTTGGTTTTCTTCCTCACAAAATCTTTTTGGTCTGTCTTTCCAGCCATTGCCGCGGCTAGTTTTGTCTCCTTGTCATACTTTGGCTTCTTATGAAGGCGTTCACTGTCCCGAAGAGAAAGTAACTCACCCCTGGGCTCCTCATCACCATCAGTTTCAATGTATTTCCTCTTTTGGGCTTTCCCTGGGGCAATGTCGTGTTCTTTCCTCATTTGGGCCATGCGGATTTTCTGGAAGTCTTCCTGAGTTAAAACTCGGCTCGTGCTAATGGCTGCAGCTTTGGCTTTCCGCTCCTCCATGGGCATGCTGTTGAGCTTCTTGGATATTTCTTGCTGTTCTTCATCAGAAGAGTGGTGCACATCAACCCACTCACCATCGGAGCACTGGGTGTTATATGGTGCTAATATATAGTGTTGCAGAAGTTCGTGTACACCATGTTAAGAGACAGCAATGCAACTGCAGCCAAAATATCTCTGGATGTGATGATTGAACTCTACAGAAGAAACATCTGGAATGATGGTTCACTGAGACTGGTACTTTCCCACCCATCTTCATCGTTTTTAGCATCCTCTTCTTTTTCAACTTCTAAAACTTCTGCTCCTGGAATGTAATCTTTAGCATCTAATTCTCCATATTCTTGCACTCTTGCTTCTATGGAGGACTCCATAGGCTTACCCTGGAATTTCTTCTGCAACATCTTAGGATTCAGTGTTCGGAAGAGCTGAATCAAAGTTCTAGCAGACATCATCACATTCTTATCTCTGTGTGTTTTATACTGAGCCAGGTCTTGGAGAAGTTCTTCAGTCATGGCTAGAGGACATCGAGCTGTTATCTCTTTTATAGCATTGATTCCTACTGTCATGACCTCCCCAGAGTTCTTGTTGGTGACAAAATTGTTGGCCACAGTCATGAGCACTGACTGAATGATCTCTGGGGGTACTAAGTGATGAGATGCTTGGGCAGCAAACAGAAGGATCTTTGTTACTTCTCTTTGGTGGGGTTGCAGAAACCTTTGCACAAATGGATAGAAGTTAAAGAGAAAAAGCTTGTGAATTCCCACCAATCTGGAGATGAGGTTCATGAGCATCATTTTCACCTCAAACCTCTCCGTAGAGCTCTCTAGCTGCTTTAGTAGTTTTTCTGCAAAATCTTGGGGATCATGAATCAAATGAATAGCTGAAAAGTTAAAGACCTCTGGTTTTTTCTTCTTTTTTTGTTTCTTGAGCACTTTCATAGCCTTTTCCAACCTTTTCTTGTGTTTGGAGCTTTTCT